GTCGAGGTTCCGATGCCTGCGTGGTGAATGGCTTCAGGTGGCCATGCTGAGTGGCCAATGGTTGGAGGAGTTTGTCTTGGAGCTGAAGCAACGTAGCGGGAATTCCCCGTTCTTCGCAGGATCCTTGTTGACAATGGGCAGGATTGGCCCGTTTCTGAAGCGCTAGATGGGAATTGGACGCAACGGGAACTGTTCATTTCATGCAAGGTTGACTGGCACGCTGTTGCTTCTCCTGCTCCTTTTTCCCCTTCAGAGGGGTGCTGTGAGACCTTTCTGGGATTCTCCGGACCCAGGGTGATCACGCAACCTTGCCTAACCAAGCAGCCAATTTAGGGCATGCCACCTTTTAAGGCCACACAGTCTCCACCCAGTCACCCAGTGCCCAAGAGCGAATCCTGTCTCACGCTTGGCAGCGATTTGGTTCACGGGGGACCGGCCCAACTCTCATTTTTGACGCACTCGCAGGCCGGAGAGACCGAGTCAGAGGAACTAGGCGGGGCACCTGGGGTGCGGGAGAGGTGGGCAGAGCTGCCTTGAGCAAGGCAAAGCAACAGGTCACCTTTTGAACCCGGGGATGAGACGGCAGCTGCCGACTGCAGAGTGGGTTGAGCTTGTGGGCCGGCAAGGAGCAATTGGCACGGAGGTGACAGAACTCAGATCTACCTTGTTTCGCCCCAAAGCAATCCGTGTTTGCCTTCCCCTTGAGTTTGGAAATTATTGGCATGTTTCAGGAAGCCAAGGGGCCCAGGCCTTGGCCTACTTTGAGGCAATGCAGCCAGACTAATGTTTGGCTTTCCTTTGTCATTTTGTTTGTCAAATCCGTTCTAAGTTGCCTTGTGTCTCAGCTTCCTTGCCGTCCCATTGGTAAAACACTCAGCTCGTGGTTGGACGCTCGGACGCTCGGACGCCCGGCCCAGACGCTGACGCGGACCTCACAGAGGGCTTCAGCCGCTTGGGGCGAGGGGTGGGAGGAGCTTTGGTTGACTCGTGCATCGTTCAAACCATTGTTTCAACCATTGCCCTTCTGAACTTTAGAGGTTTTGCTTTTTTTGGGGTGGTTTTGCCCGATTTCTTTAGTGGTGTTGCCCTTCTGAATTTTAGAGCACGTCCGCCACTAAAAGTGATCAGCCCCCAAAAGGGTCAGTCGTTGGGCAACTGTTTTTGTTTTTTAATTCCCCAACAGCTGAAAGCTTTGGGGTCTCAGCCCAGATAGGCTCCGGGGTGGTCCGGAGCGGCCCTGCAAGAGGGTTCCACCAGGGTTCCACCAGGGTTCCACGAGGGTTCCCCGAGGTTCTACGAGGGCTGCGGGGTGGTGCGAGCACTAAAAAGAACACCGCATGCTGTTGGGGATATCACCTGAGCTTATTCAGCAGGGGTGTATAACTGTCAACCGGGAGTTGTGAGATGAATGTTTTTCAGTGACCCAGGCAAACTATGGAGAGGGTTCCTTTTTCTTTTCGCGCAAGCTTCCTTTCTTTCAGGTCCCTTTTGGTGAGTTGTGACACACAGCCATGGCATCGTGCCAATACAGAAGGCGCATGGACTCCCCAAAAGCCGAGCCCAGGCTGTCTTCGGCACCTATCCTCGCTTCACAAGCTAAGGCTTAGGGCAAGACGGACCTCAGGCATAGGTGGCGTCTTTAGGTTAGCTCGGTTAGACATAGACGGGTTCCACTGGTGTAGATTGGTTGCAAAAGACCACCTATGGTTGCAGGTCGCAGCGTGCAGGTCCCTTGAGTGATGTGCGATAGCACGCGTACACATAGAGGTACATGCACCACAAGGCATTGCCTTGCATTGCATCCCAGTACGTTTCACAATCCCATATTATGTATTTGCATTTGGGAGCTCTGCCAGGTCATTTCATTTCATATTTGCACTACGCTACGTCACATTTGCATGTTCATGTTCAGTTGAATTTGCATTGCGCTACTCTGGACAGTACGTTGTGTTTCGGCCTTCTACATTTCATGCCATACCGTTCCATACCACACAATACTACATCATGCCGACCACACGCCGCGCCGCGCCACAACACACACACACACACCAGACCAGACCCCTGACCTGACCCGACCATACCGTACCATGCTCGGACTTAGCGGGGCTGAAGACGCCTGCCTGCCCAGGCCGGCCTTCCAGCCTGCCGGAGACGAAGGCCGGCTGGCAAGTCCCCGGATGTTTGACAGCGACCTGCCGTTTTCTGGCTTGACGTTTTTTGAGTTTGCCCCTGTTCAAGTGGCAGGGAGTCGCTGGAACCCGCCCGAAAACTGCAACCTTTGATTTGGGGAACCGCAGGTTCGCTGCATTGAGCCGTTGCATTTGTCATGTTTTGGGTGAGGCACAAACACGTGGATAGCCAAGCACATGAGCAAGAACAAAGCCAGGACTTCTGTCCTGCCACATGTGTTTTGTTTTTTGCGTTCGAGCGCACAACAACCACAGCCTTGTACGGAGGTGCTGCCCTCAAGCACCTCTCTGTGCGTGGCGGACGGCCCGAAAGTGGTGCCTCGCCGTGGCCCCCAGACACGGGGGCCCGCTGAACTTGTGAGTCATGGGCTTATCCTGGGTTTAATGCTAACCCCGGATTCATAAACTGGATGATTCGGGTGTTTCCCTTGTAGCGGTTCTGCATGATATTGGTTGGGGTGTTTTCCAGAAGTAGCAGTTGACGCCACTTTTGGGGGCGTGATTCCCCACTCTAGGACAGGTTTATGCCAGGGCTCCATCAGAGGGCACGAAAGGAAGCCAGGCACATGGGAACTCCAATTTCCCATCGCAGTGCTGAAGTCCAGTATGGGACGTGTCTCGATTGGGTTGTGTTTGGCCTCTCGCCCATCTAGTTCTACGGTTCCATGAGATTTTTCAAGATTTGCCCTCGCAGAGTGTCCCTTCTAGCACCAAGCAAAGTACTAATTTGGCTGTGGCTCAAAATTAAACAGGGGGTTACGCAGGGTTTGGTCCATGTTTCCACTTACCAGGGTTCCATTTTGGAATCCCGGTTTTTTGAGCCACAGCCATTTGGGTTGTAGGAGGGGGCAGTTCACCCGGCGGGTTCCGCAAGCAGAGGGTCGAATCCTTCATCGCGCCGAGGCAACACCCAGCCCCTGGGCCGACTTCAGCTGGAGGGCTTCCAATCAGCCCTTTGGACTTAACGCTTCCTGAGGCTTTTTTATGTGGCTCCTTGTGTTGGTCGGTGTTTTATTTGTGCGTTTTGGTCCATCTCCTTTGCTTGGCTTTGTTTGCTTGTTTTGTTTTCTTTTGCTTCTGGGCTTGGCCCCGAAGCTCAACGTTTTGCAAGCAACAAACAACAAAGCCCCCTTCCGCAGGGAGGGTGGGGTGCGGTGGGGTGGGGTGGTGAAAGGTTGGATGACTCGCAACAGCTACCTGCAACTGCCAGGAGCGTACTCTTCTAAACATGGTTGGCCATTTTGGTCCAGTTGTGTTCTTGGGCAGGCACCTGGCCGCTCAAAGCTTTTGGATCCGTTTGGCCCAATGTCTGACCAAAGAATGAGCCTACCCATTCCGTGGGTAAACCGAGGCAAAACAGCCATGAGGAAGGTCCGCTTGTAGTGCCTAGATTAGGAGGGGGTCCCTTTTCTTGAAAGACAGGGGTTCCTACATGTATCCTTTCAAGGTGACGTCTTTTTTCCGAAACCAAAACTGGGAAGCCCCTTAGGAAACCTAGGAAAACCCCCCATTTTGTCTCAGAACACACATTTAGGAAACCTCAGAAGGAGCATTTGTTTCCAGGGAGGCGGCCTCTGAGGCTCAGCAAGCCAATCTTCTGCAGCGCCTCCCGCCCAGGAGCCGACCCGTTAGCCGCGAAATCGTTTTGATGAGGCGCCCCCCCCCCAGTTGGTGCTTTGGGACTTGTGGGGGTTTGCACCTTTTCCTCAACCACCAAACCACCGGTCTCCCAACTGCAAATGAAAGGGAAGCTGCAAAACCGAGGACATCGTCGGGGAAATGGCTGGTCCCCTCTACAAATCGGAGAATACAGGTTGCCCCCAAAGCTTTTGGATGGCTGAGACATCACGGCCTGATGTTCGGAACAGGTGCGACCCCACTTTTTGCCGCAGTCTTTTTGACACCTTTTGGACAGGCACGAGTTGGCGGTGACTTTTGAATGGGGCCCCTGGAACTGGAAACTGTTTCCGCGAAACCGAGCCACAAACGAAGACGCGCCACGACCCCGTGTCCTTGGCAGATTTCATTGGAAGCAATCCAATTAGCACCCAACGCCGACCCTCAACGCCTGTTTTTCTTGTTTTTCTCTCCTCCTTTGCTAAGGAAGCAGCAAGTGCCTAGAAGAGCGAAACGTGAGTTGATTGGTTTGTAGGCGCATGCCAGGCGTTTCCTCCTTACAAAAAAGGGGGGATCTGGTCGGTCGACCCGCACCCTGCCGTTTTGGACCTGCAAGCCAGATGGTAGTACTGTGGGCGCACGAAATCCTGCATCACCGAATTCCCCCTGCAAATACCAAGATGCAATGGTTTCAACCATGGGTTCAAAGTGGTGAGTTCGTTCATCGGTCCACAGTATCGAGGTCGAAAAGCAGGTTGGGCTTAGGGCTCCTTCCCCATCAGCCAGCCGTAGCCAGATTTGGAGGGTGCAACATCTCGAAATGGGTAGGGACTGCGATGCGTTGCTGTTTCCGTCGCTTCCATGTCGGACCCCGGGTTTTTTTGAGTGAGCCATTGGGGCTTTGGGTCACAGCTTCCAGTATCAAACAGGTTGCGATTCCCAGGGCCCGAACACAGCGCTTGAGACATGATACCAAGGGTCAGTCTGCACATGGTCGCACTGGGCAGAACCCTTTTGCATGCATGTTTTGCAGAGGGCAACCAACTGGACAACACCCCTGGCCGCGCAGAAACTGCCAATGGCGTTCCCTTCACCAGGCTTGAAAAGGGAAATAACCTTGCAGACCCGTCCCTGCCTCCTGGGGCTTCCTCGTTTTCTCGGAAAGTGCGCGCCGCCCGTTGGCCCGTCCGGCTCAGTTGGCTCGGCCGGGCGCCCAAGGCGCCGGGCCCTTTGGAGTGACCAGCGCCCAGCGAGGGATGGCTGCGCGGGAGTCGGTGCGGCGGCGGAGCGTGGCTCTCACATCCGACCCGGCAATGCGGGAGAGACTCGGCAACGAAGTCCACTTGACTGCTATTGGGCTATTGGGTTGGATCTTTAGACTTTAACTTTTTGGGAAATCCAGGGGGTTTTCTACTAAACCCACAAAAAGTTAAACTTTTTGCAGAGGGGTCAACTGCAACCAAGCCGAAAGCGAAGTTCGAAGCGGTCAGAGGATTACTTAAAGCGAAGCTCGGTTGGGGGTTCGGGTTGGGGTTGAGGGTTGGGGATTCGGAGTTAGGAGCAGAAGGTTTGCCATAGCGGAACCCGGCGTGAAAAGCGGGTCCGTCATTGCTGGGCGCCGTGCTTTTTTCAATGGCCACTGGGCCAAGGGGGAAAGTGAGACAGGAGACTAGCTGAGTTTAGGATTTTGAGCCCCAAGCCGCTAACAGCCCCAAGCTTGCCAGGCTTTGTGGGAACCCGAGGTCGTAGGTTGAGCTATTCTGAAGACTCATTTGGACCACATTTCTTGGAGCAGAGGGGGAGTCGTCTCATCCCATTTGTGCCAAGTCCCCCCCTTCTTTGTGCCAATCCTCGCGGCCCCGCTGCCTCTGCGTATGGGTTCCGCAGGACCCTACGAGTCAGGGGAACCCCCCTCAAATAGTTCACACCCCTACCAAAACGGGAGCCGCCCTGGACCTCCAGAGAAATCCAAAAAAAACAACCTTCATCTACAACTCACATAGCGGGGGTGTACTGTACATACTGCGTTCCCGACCAAAAGCACCGGGTGGTGAAGCAGCTGCCAACTTCCCCCGGCCCCCCACGCCTGGAGCGATCTGGAGATCTGGAGATCCGAGGATGGCGCACTTCGTGGGGAGCCACAGCCACGACCAGCGGCTGCAGGATGCGGCCGACCTCCGCAGCGGCGTCCTCAAGGCACCGCCTCCGGGATCGTTTTTTTTTTTGGGGGGGGTGCAGGGGTCATTATGTTGACGGTTTCTGGGGGCTATCAAAGTCAGGAATGGGGTTTGTTTCCCTTTAACCCACCACTTGGGTGGCTTTGACCGTGGTAGAATAATGAGGCCAGTTGTGGGAGAGACGGCCTGTGGTCGACATCTTGGCGGCACAAAATGTGGAGCTTGATGTGCTAGCCATGCGAAGTGCCAGGGAAGCGGACCCTTTTCTTGGACATTCTTGTCACTTTTGGGGTTTGGACACTTGTAGTGGGTAAACAGCAAAGTTTGGACTGTTTGTGACTGATTTGCTCAGGAAGTTTGGCTATTTTGATAGAACAAGTCAACCGATTTCTTGCCTCAGGGGGTTAACTTGCTGGTGCTCAGTAGGAAATGTGGTTGAATGAACAAGTCGGGATTCCCTCAAAGGAAACCACCAGTTGGATGGTTTATTTCGGGGCCATTCCCGAAGAATCCCTGCCTATCGCACCAGCAAGTTAAGTCTCTCTCACATCAATGCCACGCGCCAGGATTTGCCCGACAACTTCCGGAAGGAGGTCGAGGCGTGGTCGCAGGGCTCAGACGCTTGAATCCGCCCAAAAAAAGTGTTTTCCTTTTGGTTCTGTCAAAAAAGGACACACAAAAAAAGGAAAAACACTCCGTTCTCAGACAGGTGGACCCTTTTGCTGGCATTCAAAGGCAAGTCTTAAAAGGTAGCCAAGCATTTTAGAGGACGGCTTTCTTATTTTGAGAAGGGTCTCTCTGGATCCGATCCTCGCTGTTGCCAATCCTCGGTGATTTTCTGGTTCTTTTGGTTGGAGGTCTCCCAGGTCTGGCTTAGATGCGGCTAGTTACCCCACGGCTTTCGAAAGGACTCAGCAAGCAGAACTCGTTCTGCACCGTGCCTTCTGCCTTGCATGCCATCTGCAGCTTTTTACACACACACACATGCAGAAACATGTGTGTTGCCACTGTGCAAACCATCCTTCTACTTTCCCTACGCAAATTGTGGTTACCCCAAAATTTCAGCTGGGCCTTTCTCGGTTCTATTCGCCCCCCCCCCCCCCTTCCCCCCCGTTTCCGTCGCTTTTTTCCTTTGGGTTTCCCAACCCTTTTTCCATGTCCAGCCCCCCCCCCCCCCCCAACCCACCCCACCCCACCCCACCCCACCCGCCACCCCCCCCACCCCGCCCGCCCAACCCCCCCGACCCTTGTCCGACCTCCCCCCCCAGCAGCGTGGGCCGATGGTGAGGGGGGGTTGCCAGGTCCTTCGCCAGGCGGAAGCCTTCGAGGACAACCGTCCGCTGCCCGTCACGAGTACGGGCCTGCGGCTTGGCGCAACCCCGGGGCCGAGGACCGGTTAGGCGAATCGACTTGAAATGACGACTCTTGGGTTTCCCAGTTCCTCTTTTTGTTTGATGCCATCTGGGTATGTGTTTCTTTTTCTTTCTTTTTTCTGGGGGGGGGGGGACCCGGAGAAGTGTGGTTTTCCTGCTGGTTTCGCCTTAAAACCAACCACAAGGGGGACACAGCAAATATGGGTTTGGCGTGGCAGCGGATGACACAGCAAGACAGCAATCTGCCCAACTTGCCTATTGATAAGGATCACCCTTGGATCCGTCAGCACCTCATCACGCAGGCCAGAAATCACCAAGCGCCTTTTTGAAAGCCACCGTATGGATGTGGCTCAAAAAACCGGTGCCAAAATGGAACCCTGGTAAGTGGAAACATGGATCAAAACCTGCGTAACCCCTCCTGTTTAATTTTGAGCCACACCCATATCAGTCCTTCTAAGTGACACTCTTTGTGACGAGCCTGGGCACACACAGGCTTTGTGCTGCATTCCAGTCTGCGACAAAAGGGGAACCGCCCACTTTGAGTCACGGCCACAGGGGAAACCCAAACAAAACCCATCGCCTGGAGGGTGGCCCTAATTCCGAGGTGCCGGCGCGCTCCAATCGGGAAAAGGGCATGCGAGAAGTGGTGAATGGGTGTGCCTCTTGTTCAGGGATCTCCCAAAATGCCGTGGGTTTTCATTTTGGTGTCCTCTGAAAAGCACGGACAAAAGGTACCAAACTCCAAAAAAGAAGGTACGCACCTCGGCAGTGCAAGTGACGTTTGTTTGGAATTGATGATAATGTAGTTTTCCCCACGTGTCCCCCATTTTACATCTCCCCTTTCCCGGATATTTCCCACCCGCGCAGGTATTTGAGAATTCAAATCACCTAAGAACTTTGTTTTTGGCTTCTTCAGAATGATGTCTCCTTTGGGTTTTTGTCAGAAACATGTCTTTTTTGTATTCTTTCTTCAGCAAAATCTGTCCATAGACCTTTCCCGCATCTCCCCCCCGTTTTTTTTTCTTTCCGTTTTTCTCCCCCCCAAGCCTTCCGCGCTTTCCGTTTTTTCCGGCGCTTCGAAGCTCAGCGCTGAGGCTCGACGGGCCCTCGGTGGACGCACGCCTGGCCTGGCGCCACGAGATGGATCGACAGGTGAAGCGGCTCATGCAGGCGACATCGGCGGAAGCGCCGGAAGCGTCGAGTCGGGGCGGTTCTTTGGAGGTTTTCTCCTGGAAAATGGGGTGGGGGGGTGGGGTTAGTTGGTTTTAGGTCTCACGACTTCTCTGTGGTTGGCATGTTGTTTTAGCATGTTTGATTTTTTTTCGGTTCGTTGCAGGTGCGCCTCTAGTTGGTGGTTTGGAGCCCGGTTTGGATTTGGATTTGAACTTCTGGCTGAAGTCAGGCAACGCAGTGGTGGTTCGGATTGTCGGTGGTAAACATGGAGCCTAAAAGTGGTCTGCCCAAAGTTTCCTCTCAAAGTGATGTGGCTATGGATCTTTTAGTAAGGGACCCTTGGATTCTGATGTCCAAAGTCCGGGACGCCCATTAAAATTCACACCCATGTTTTTTGTCGGGTTCCTGCTGGCAAAGGACACGCACTTTGCGCTGGATGACCGCATCAACGAGGAGGTGAAGCACACGCTGCGGGTGAATCACGCAGACCGGATGTATGACTGGTACGGCAAGCACGGGATGAAGCAAGCCCGGAAGGAGGGACGTCGGACGTGCCGGCCAAACCGCATCCACGTCACCTGCGATTTTCTGTGAAGACTTAAGGCCTCAGAGTTCAGGTAAGGCAGTTTTTCGGTGGGTTTGGAAGCCCTTCTTGTAGAGGGTAAATTGGAACCAATCCAAACCACTAAAAGGGAAGCTGAGAGACTCCTCCATAACTGAGGTTGCTTGTTGGATGTGCGTTATCCTTTGAACCGCGTTTTCAACAAAGGACCACGCCTTGAGGGCAGACAACTGGCCAGTTTTATTTCCGCTACTACGATGCGCTAAGAAAAGAAGGCTCTAGGAACCTTTTCTGGGGCGTTTGGGTTTCCTCACTTGGGCCATAGGAAAGCGGAGTGCTAGAGCTAACTTGCGAGGCTTTTTTTTGGTTTCTTCCAGAAAGATGGCCCAAAGTGGGACTTAGGCCCTTCATTTTGTCCAAGGTTTTGGAGGGAGGTCAAAGCGCAGCTCCTTTATGCTCGCGAAGTGCAGGGAAGCAAGCAGCGAGCGTAGAACCCCTGCTAAGCTGTGAAATGTTGGCCTGGGAAGGCAGACGTGCACACCATGGACCCTCCGGGTCTGGACGAAGGCCATTTCCCATCAATTGCCTGCTTATGCTTTGACACCCGCACGGATAGTCGACGGCCACTTCCATCCAGCCTTGTCAACGAATTTTGTTCCCGGCTTCCCTTGAATCAAGGTCCGGGGATCCACCGAGGTGCAAAAGGCCCAAGAACAAGCGCTGACAAGGGTTTGAAAGCCATGTCAAGAAGGGTTCCCTTTCAAGACGCGCCGAACCACTCCACTTGGGACTCGGTTTTTTTCGTTTTCTCTTTTTCTTTAGGAGCGCGAGGCGCCGGCGCACTTGCGCTTCAACCCCGAGGAGGGGCCCGTGTCGCGTTCCATGTTGAGGGTACGTGACCGCGGACGAATTATCCCCAGGTTATGAACAGGGAGGGGTGTCCGATTCTGGTTCTTTTGTGGCAATTCAGCACTTTCGGAGGGGAACACCGGGGAACACCCCCCATATTCATCATCAGGGGTTTAATCCGTGGTTTATATTACGTGTGGTTGCACAGGGGGTTTGATTTTGGGTTCATGTTGAGACCCTGGCGGTTCAACGGAGACGATGTAGGAAATGTATGGAAGGCGCAGCGGGAATGGGTTCGCTTTGGTCTAGGCCATGCCTGGAAGCTAACCAGATCCGAGGAGGAAGGTCCAAACAGGATCCATGTAACAGGGCTCCTTAAAAGAAATATCCTTTTTGCAACCATTTGAAACATGTGGATTTTCAACGCCAAAATAAAGTTGGAAACCACCATTTACAAGTTGCAATGTTCAGGTGTATCATGTAAGGATCCCTGTATAATGTTCACCCAGGATTACCAAACCCGTCCCATTATTAGGGGGGCTCCCTCCCAAAGTGGTCTGAATCCCCACTAAAAGGGGACGCCCCCTATCAATCAACCAGGGTTTATTAATCTGGGGTTAACTTTAGGGAGGCTGCCGTTTTGATCGGTTGCAGTGACAGTGAAGGTTGTCTATTGGCGTTTAACCCAACCGAGGCTAGTTTCTTGGTGTTTCTGATTTTAGATGGCTTAGACATCACTGGTTGGGGAAGTTATCCCGAGAGCTTGGCCTCGAAGAGGCTTTGCTTGAGGTTTGTCCTTGGGGTGGTGGAGTGGACCAAGGTTGTGGACGGAAGAGCGTGGCAGTCCCGTTTTCCCAATGGACATTTAACATGGGGTTGGTTCAGCAGGGGATCCGCGCACTCATGTTGCACATGTTTGAAGGGCGGAAGGTTGGATTCCCGCCCTAGCCGGGCTGGACCCACTTGCTGCCTGTGGGCATTTGGACACATGCTTTGCCGTCTGCCGCTTCGACGTTGCTGGCTGATGCTGGCTTGTCCGGCTGGTTTGTTGCCACTTGTCGAATCTTTCCCGGATGCGTGCTTTTCCATCTGCTTGGGTTTGCAAGGTCTAGGTTGGTTCACATGCGGGGCGTGGGGTGGTACCTACAAATGAGAAAGATGTTCGAAGGGCACTGCTAGCAAACGCTGCCAGCTTTTTGACCCGATGAGTGAGATCCACTTTGGGGCAATACACGTCTCAAGCCCCGGTTGATGGAAACCGGGCCTCCCAGAAACCAGGTTTAACGGGTTTATTCGCCTGACGAGCCCAAGAAATGAAACTGAGTTCACAGCCATATTACCCCCGCCCCAGCCGACCCCAATATGTCAGGTCCTCGCCTTGCAACGGCTGGCTAGGTGGTCAAAACGTATCGGGTGTGAAGAGGAAACCTGATTCAACAAGCTTGCCCTTGGATGATGCGGGGGGGTAATGAAAGTATATGAAAGTCAGAAATTGGGTTTGTTCCCGATGACCTATCACTTCTGGGGTGACTTTGAACATTGCGAAAATTTGTGGGGTCGGAATTTCCCAGCAGCTTTCTCAGCGGGGCTTCTGCCCAAAGCTTTGGAGTTGCCAGCTCCGAGCTCCGTTTCCGGAGGGATGCGGAACACCAACCGACTTACCAACCGACGTACCAACCGACCGACCGACCGACCGACCGACCGACCGACCGACCAAAGTCTGCTTCCCTCCGCAAAGCGAAAACCGACCAAACACCCGGCCCCCGCGCAAAAAAGAAAGCGGACAAAACCTCGGCCGCGGCGAGGACAGCGTGATGCCGGGGTCCCTGCGCCGGCCCAAGGAGACGGCCCCGGCACTGCTGGGCACGGCGTCAACGCCAGTGCCCACGCTGACCATCGAGGTGCCCAAGGAGAGGTCCCGGGTCGGTGTTTTTTTTTTGCCCGGCTTCCATCTGCTTAAGTATATATATATATAGTTTGTGTTTGTTGGATTTTCGGTTTTGGTTTTCAAGGGAATCTATGACTATATTTTTGTTCTTTTCCAGCAAATGGAAGCCGGTGATTTCGAGCCGCTGGAGATCTTCAGGCGCCCACAAATGTGGTGGTTTTGGCTTGGCGGTTTGGATTTGAACGGGTCCCTGGTTCTTGTAAGGGGTAAATGGGAACCCCCTCCTTAACCACACCACCAGTCCAAGCCACCAATTGAAGGGAAGCTGACTTCAGGTGCTTCGGATTCGTTGGGATTTGGATGATAAACTGGTTCTTGTTGAGGGTTTGAGTTGAAGCCACATCCTAAGCACCATTCCGGGCTTCAAACAAAATCACTAGCTGGGAACCTGAGTGGACGGCGATCTTGCCGGCTGAAATGGGGTCCCCTTAGGTTGTATCTATGTTGTCCACAGAAACCGCCGTGGGGGTGGCTTGGTGCTTGGTTGCCATGTCTCCTTTTGGCAGGGGAGTTTTTAGATTTATTTGGAGCAGCCATGTGGCCTGTCTCTTTCATGGTTTCAGGTTTTGGCAGCACCACTCATTTGTTGCACCCCAAGGTTCTCCGAACCTTTCGATCAGAACCCCTTAAGATCCTTCTCAGTCGACTTCCGAGGCTTTCCAATGTGACGCGTGCCTTTGGCTTCCAGCAAGATCAAAACCCGCGGTAGAAGATGGGTTCGACTTCAAATGGGGAGCTGAGTCTACTGTGCCAATCGGCTCTTGGAGGAACCCTGTGATTCCCAGGTCAGTTAGGTTGCCTTACCGCTTGTTCTTCTTTTCAAAGTTGGCCGCGAAAGGGCTGAGCCGCCCAGAAAAGCTGAGTGACTGGGGGATAGACGCCGGAACTCAGGTTACCCTTAATCCTTTTATGGGTAAACCTTCCAGCCGCTCACAAACGTCTCAGCTAGGACGAGGAGGTTGCCGCGAGGCAACCTTCGAGCCAAGTGGGCAACACCCTGCTGGCGGCGGGCCGGAGCTTTGTCAAGCCCGTCACCCCGAAGGCGGCGATTCGGTCGTTTTTCGCAAAAAATCGAGCTCGCAGGGAGCAAATTGAAGGGAGCTGTGAGAAGGCAACTTGGGGGCCTCATGGCGGGATGCTTTTCTTTCTTTATTGGTTTATTTGATTTTTTCCGAACGCATCGCGAAGGGTTCTTCCGCTGGGTTCACTTGAGTTGTTCTCATGAGAGTCATTACAAGGTGCCATTGCAAGGAGTCATTGCAAGGACAAGTTGCAAGGGGCCAAGTGCATGGAGTCAAGTGCAAGTTGCAAGTGCACGGAGTTAAGTGCAAGTTGCAAGTGCAAGGAGTCAAGTGCAAGTTGCAAGTGCATGGAGTCAAGTGCAAGTTGCAAGTGCGTGGAGTCAAGTGCAAGTTGCAAGTGCAAGGAGGCAAGTGCAAGTTGCAAGTGCAAGGGGTCAAGTGCAATTCACTTGCGAGGAGTTAAAATCTCTTCTTAGGGCGGCGGGGTAGTGCCGACACTCTACGAAAACCGACCCTCTGCGGGGATTGGCGTGGTCGAGGTGCAAAAACTCGAGGTTTTGTGCGATTTTGTTTTGGCTCGCGCGACCCTCTGCGGGGATCGGTCGAGGTTTTTTGCAATTTTGCTTTGGCTCGCACAACCCTCTGCGGGGATCGGCGTGGTCGAGGTGCAAAAACTCGAGGTTTTTTGCAACTTTTGTTTTGGCTCGCGCGACCCTCTGCGGGGATCGGTCGAGGTTTTTTTGCATTTTTGCTTTGGGGGATCGGCGTGGTCGAGGTGCAAAAAGCTCGAGGTTTTTTGCGACTTTTGTTGTTCGAGCTGGTCCTCGGGAGTTGTCTCGTGGTTCGCGCGCCTGCTCCCGGGACCGGCGGGTCGCGGGTTCGATTCCCCCCTGGTCCGCGGGCGGGCTTCGCAAGCTGCACGGAGCAACTTGCAAGTTGCACAGACCAGTTTGCGCAGAGCAACTTGCGCAGAGCAACTTGCACAGACCAGTTTGCGCAGAGCGCCTTGCCTAGAGCAACTTGCGCAGAGCAACTTACGCAGAGCAACTTGCACAGAGCAACTTGCACAGAGCAGCTTGCACAGAGCAGCTTGCACAGAGCAACTTGCAGGGAGCAACTTGCACGGAGCAATTTGCACAGAGCAACTTGCAGGGACCAACTTGCAGGGACCAACTTGCACGGAGCAACTTGCGCGGAGCAACTTGCACAGAGCAACTTGCACAGAGCAACTTGCGCAGAGCAACTTGCGCAGACCAACTTGCACAGACCAGTTTGCGCAGAGCACCTTGCCCAGAGCAACTTGCGCATGTCCCAGGCGTTGGGCCGACCTCGCTCGCGATGTTATGCTTTCGGGCCAACCGTGGTCTAGTTTTTGATTCGATGGGTGCATTGGCTTCCTTTTCAAGATTGCTTGGGAACCCCCCCCCCCCGCCCGCCCGGTTGCCTCCAAAGAGAGGGCCAGAAGGGACAAAGGGAAGGGGAGCTTGGGGAGCGTGTTGAAGCCCTGAAATTCCCGGGCGGAAGTGCTGTACCTGCCCTTTGTGATGGTATCCATTTTCGGGGTTGGTCCTAAAAAGAAGCCAAGAGAATTTGGGGTTCGCCAAATCTGGAGGAACTATTGATTAAGTAGCGGCAAGATTGAGGGCACTGTCCTGACGACACGGTTCCTTGTGTATTTTTCCTCTTTTCTCGCAGCAGGTAATGTTGACCTTAGATTAAAAGCTCCCTTCTCCCCCCCCAACAAAGGAGGTCCGTGGCCCAGGGTAGACTTGCCGTTCGAACCCACCCCTCCCGAGAAGCACAGCAGCCAAGGGGGGACGTTTCATGAAACCACTATGCGTCATTGTTCTTTGTAACTTCTTTCAGAGGGTCGAGCCATGCATATTCACCCAGCTTGGTTGGGATGCAGTTGGATATGGAAGCAAATCCGGGCGAATCAATGCCCCTGGTGGATGAAAAGGGCAAACAGTGATCCGGATTCCCTCTCAAAAGAGGGTGTTTCCCTGAAGAAGGTGAAGCGGGTTCCCATTGCGCATCAAATCCAGAAAGTCGCCAAAGGGTGGCATGGCGCCAGGTCTCGCCAAAGCGGGGCGCCACCAAACCCGGCACCGCTGGCGAGATGGGCCACACACGCACGGGGCTGTGGCGCATCTGAGGCGAATCCCTGGGCGCGAAAAGGATCGAAAGGGATGGAGGAAAGGGTTGGCTACTCGGGTCCCTACTGTGGATGGACAGCATCCTGCACCACTTTGGAACCATGGTTGAAACCATAACGTTTGTTGGTTTTTGCAGGGGAACCATCATTCTAGGGTTCTGAGGTGGTGCAGGATTTCGTCCGTGCGCAGTACGGACGGCAGAATGTTGATTTGGACTTCCTGCTGTTTGTCGGTATGAACAGGCGCGCCCTCTGAATTGGAGATGTTTTGCCATGGTTGGTCGCTTGTTGGCTTTTCGAACAAAGCGGTCCTTTCACAGGGTGCCTGGTAATTTGGAAGCCCATCAACGTGGCGAACACGAAAAACATATTCAATCTTCAAGCGGGGGTTTGAGCCATGTCTTGAGTTGTTTCGGCCACTCCGGCCTTGGGCCTCCGAACGAGTTTTGGGGAGGTTCTCTTGGGGCTTGGGAATGCTTCTTCTGCATATGTTTCTTTGCAGCGGACCCCGAAAATGGTGTGCTTTTCCTGTTGGTTTCCCTTTAAAACCACAAACGCAGAGTGCCCTCAAAAAAGACAAAGCCAAATCAAGCCACAGAATCCGCCCCTGGAAAGCGGAGTTTCACCACGCCGGCTCGCCCTTCGCCTTTCCATCCTGTGATTTTGAGGGGCCCTCCTTTTGACCTGCCCTGAGTGAGTTTTAGCGACGGTTGTAAGTAAGCCAGATGTCCCCTGATAGCATGATTGCGAGTTTCCAAGTGCCGTGTGCCTCCAAGGAACAGGCTTTGTGTTTTTTTGCCATCCGGTTGCCGGAGGCCCATTTTGACGCATGTCTGATGTGAATTGGATCAGAACCCGGAAGGCTCTTACAATTTTCCATTTGAGGAGGGGGGTCCACGACGCTATGACGCCCCCAATGACGCAGGCCACCGCAGCACCCCCCGAAGCAACCTCTCCCCTAACGCACTGTCTTCCTAAATGAATCACAGGAGGCCGACGCCAAAAGAACAAGATGCATATTACTTTGAGCATATCTTCAGGTTGGAAAGCTGGCGCGCGATCCCGGAGCGTTCCCTTTTCCGCGGTGAACGGAGCGTCAGCCCAGCGAATCGGCGGCCTCCGAAACCGACCCATGCCCGATGCCGGCGATTACAAGCGGGGCGCCGGTTTGGTGAATTTGGGGCTTGTCAGTAAGACCGTTTAACCTTTGTATTTCATGGTCTCCAGTTCCTTTTGGCCAGTGAGTTTGCTTCACATTCTGGTTTTCAGCCTGGTTGAATCGCCGTGCGCCATGCCTTTGTGGCTTGCCCTCGCCGAGAGCTCTCGCTCACTTCCCCGGCCCTTCGCATTGCAGAGGGTTGGATATTGGACGTGTAATTAGATGAACTCCCTGCTTCGGCATTTGAGGAGTTTCAGGAGTTCTAGTTAGCACATGTAAGCACCGCCCATTTCTGCAGTGACACCCTTTTTCATCCCTTTTTGTCGGGATGCCGCCGAAGTGGTCGAAAACCGGGCCCACAAACAGGTCTTCATAAATGAGAGGGCTGGGCACTTGTTTTACCGTTTTACCTCCAGAAAGTCTGGGGAGGACCCACTAACACCGACCCCACCGCCTAACCAGCACAGACTTGTTTGGTCACTCCGAGGAAGTGAGTTGGATTCCCCAGGATGGAGCTTCCGGCCCTTTCCGTGCACTGCGCTTCGCTTCAAGAAAAGAGCCCAGGGACCGGTCCCTGCGGGTGAGGGATCGGCCCGAGGCAACGTACAGGCCTAGCCGCACGGGCTCCACCACGTGATTTTTGCCTCTTCTTTTTTTGAGTTTGGATGGGATACATTCCATAAAAGGTAGGTGACCTCTAAAGGCGTAAAAACAAAAGAGTGTCCTGTGGTTCATTTTGCTTGGATGTTAGGACTTTAACAACTTTTTGCCAACTAATGGGTTTTCCGTATTAAACCACTAAAAGTGAAACTTTTAGCAGGGGAGCAGAAAGCCACCGAGTGTCCTCTTCAGGACGTTGATTGTCCACACCAGGATGCTATTGAATCCTCATGGAGTTCCAGCTGTTTGGAGCAGGGGGTCGTGAAATTCCATAGACCGGAAGGCTATGAGCCGAGAACCGATAATGTCGCCCCCCTTTCCCGGTGGACCAATAGAGTTTGATTGTATCGCCGGAGAAGCTATATGGCTGTGGTTGTCGAAACCACTGGGATCCTATTTTGGGGTAGGTGAATTCACCACCCATTTTAGAGCCTATTTTTAGTGGGGATTGGGATGTTCACTGAGGGTACTGTACGGGTTTTTGACCCATGGCCATATAAGATGCCTGGCCGAGGTCAACCTTTGAGGGCCTTGATGAAGACCAACAGCATGTTTGTTTCCTAGGTTGAGGTTATACTTGTGTATTTGGTGAATACACACAAACTAGATAGAAATATTATGAAACAGGCTGCAGAAAGAGAGAGAGAGAGAGAGAGATCCCGGTCGCAAAATAGACCCCAAGTTTCCAACATGCCAAGGCAGCATTAATTAAACCGTTTGGTCGAATTTCGACACGGGGCGATCCGAATCACTTTTGGGCAAACCACTCTTCCTATTGACCCACTGAAATCTGGGGTCGACATTACATCTGGGTCTAGGTCTTCTGGGCCAACGTTTGGGACCATAGTCATCCTGCCATTGACGTGAAAGAAAGCAAACCCTAGGGTATAGTTATTTCTGAGGGTTTCCGTCTGACTTTCTCGGCCGCTTCAGCTCACGCTAGTCTTGAAAGACCTGATTGGTTGCTTGGTTGCCTGGTTAGGTTGCCTTCTCCTTGCTGGTGCGATAGGCGGGGAGTGAAAAATGGAATGACCCGCATAAACATCCAACTGGTGGCTTCCTGCCTTCTTGGGTTCATTCCCTCGTTCCCTAGTGAGCACCCCCACCCCCACGCCCAAGCCCCGCGCGGTCCGCTTCCAGGAGCCGTGCGCGGTCCGCTTCTGCGGACCTCGCAGCGGCCTGGGCGAGGCACTTGGGGAAGGACACGAAAGCTGAAGGACGGCTCCGAAAATTCGGGCTCCGGGAGGTTTCGGAGGCTGCGGCTCAGTGGGGCCCAGGGAATGAGTCCAGAAGTCCGCTGAAAGGAAGCCAGTTGGATGGTTTATATGGGGCATTCCCTCAGTTCCTGCAAGTTTAGGAGAGTGGGAAAGGTTCCTGGGAGGATGGGGCGGCGCAAACAAACCATTTTGCGCCACTCTCCTTTTTGGACCCGACATGGCTTCGGCTCTCCTTCCAAAGCAAACCCCAAAGTTGGAAAACCAGGCTGGGAACCAAAGGTTTTTTTGGCGCCAAGACGCTCAAGCCCATCGAAACCCAATTGGGTTTTTGGCTGGTATCGAACATCGGTGCAGATCTCCGCCCACTTCTCTTAATTTTAGATCCGTTCTTTATATATATATATATATTCTTTTTATTGTTTTAGAGAAATCCTGTTTGGCTGGCCTAAAGGGGAACATATAAACCAACCACTGTTTGATTTTACTTTGTCTTTTTTGGGGGGGTCTACAAAGAGACGCCCATTTATTTGTCGGATGTTTGGGGGCCCGCCACATCCAATCCAAACCCGAAATTGGCGACTGGCGACTGCGTTCTGGATCACCTGCAAAAACCACCAATCCGAACCACCAATTCCAGGGAAGCTGACTGGCTAGTGTGATTGCGATCCAATGGGAATGCCTCCCAACCCACCAACCCAACCCACAACAAATGAGTTTGCCTGAAAAAAATCTGCCTCCCCCCCAAACAACCAAAACAACAAAACGTCGGTGGTTTCCTCTGAAAGGTTCTTGGGAGCCCCCGTTTCAAGAGCAGGTTCCTCCAATCCGGTCGATCAGGACCCAAGCTGAAGGACTCCGGAGTGGACGGGGAGGCTGGAAGAACCGGACAAGTCATGTGCGGATAGCGGAGCCACAGAGGTGGCCACAAAAAGTGAAGGGGCTCGTTTTCAAAGAGCTGGGTCTTTGCAGTAGCGCCCTCTTTGACCAACTTTTTTGGGGGAGGGCCAGCCCCTGCTAAAATAGACAACAGGGAAAAAAGCAGTTGGTGCCCTTATTTCAACCTAGAGAGTCAAATCAGGAGAGTCGGTAGGGGGGATGTGCCACACGCCACAGCTCGGGGGAGGGGACGGCGGGGGGTTCAGGGCGCCCAACGGGCACCTGGGCGGGTTTTCCTGCGGCGACTTTTTGAGGGACCGGACAACCAGAGCCTGGGGTTGGATCTGTAGACTTCAAAACTTTTTGCTTGGAATAAAGTCAACTAACCCCCCCCCCAAAAGTCAGCTTGTTTTGGGAGATATTTCGGTGTTTCCCACCAAACCCCCCAAAAAGTGATCCACTTTTTGCAGGGGGGGCCTTGCAGCACCGCCTGGTGGGAAGATCAGGGCCTTGGCCTCAAGGTCCAACTTAGTTTTGCCATTCCGAACTCGGAATTCAGGCAATTCATACCATCCGCACATACCATGGTGCTAAGTAGGTCTTTTCATGCACACCTATATGTCTAAGTTTGCCATTTACATCCCACCCAATTTGGCACTGAACGTGGATTTGTTGCCTCAAGTCAAACGCACAAGAAAACATACATGCCACCGATTTCCCGAAAGGTCTTTATCTCCAGCACTTTGGTGGCTAAACCCTTCGCCAGACCATTTCAACCTTTCGAGCACCTTTTTGGTTTTCCTTCATTCCCCCCTTTCAGCCAGCCAAAACGATCGCCACGGCAACCGGGTCTCAGGGCACCCGTTTCCCGGTCCAAAGCCTCCACCCACCTCGCCGCGCGCGCTTCGGCCGGCCGACGCGTCTACGCGCTGGCGGGGCGCACGCGAGGCCATCGGTCTGTGGCTGGGGGGCGCCATCTCGGGCGCCATGTGCTGCGCCAAGCTCCTCGAGTCCACGGCCCGAGGCGCCGAATCCGCCGAATCCGCGGGGATGGGAGGTGTGGGAGGCGGCCGTGGGCTGCGGGCGGCTTCCGGGCACCGGAAGTCGCAGGGAGCCCCTGTTGCGATTGCTCCAAAAACCCGTTGGGGGAGGGAATCCGGGGTTGGGAATGGGAAAACCCCAGAGGGGTGAGGGGATGTTGAATCCGACTGGCCACGGAACCTGCGAGCCAAAACCCTTGGGCAGTGAGCACCATGTTTACCTCCGCTTAAACCCCCACACCCCAGGTTGCGATGCAGGGCTCCGCCAAGGAAAAGCAAGACCTGGCCAGGTCAAGCAAGGTGAACATGGTGAACATGCGTTTCTGATCCGCCCAGGGCTGGAGTGGGCAGTTTGCAGTTTCTGTGTTTTGGGATTTGGAATGAGCTATTGCTGGGAGCCGCGTTGTCAACAGTGCCACTATTCATGATCTCTTTTGGAAAGGGGGAAGCTGAGGCACATGACTTACCCCTGCGCGGGCCCTTGGGTTTTTGCAGTCCTAGTCCTTTCAAATGGATTCCGATTCAAAGAGTGGGACTCGGATCCCTTTATGGCCTTAGTAGGCGCACGCGGCTCCTGCCTGGGTTGTTTTAAAGGAGTCGTTTGTTTGATTGATCTAGGTGTCTCTTTACTTATTCAACCTCATTCACTATTTGTGCACTCAATTCATGTATTTTTGTTTATGTACTACTTATTTTATTATTTGCTTGATGATGTGTTTATTCATAAATTTAGTTCTGTATGTATTCATTTCGCATTTATCCGTTTATCCATTTATGTATTCACTTAATAGTTCTGTAATCATTTAGCTGTTTTCACTCATTGTTCGTGTTGCACATTCCAGGTATAGCCATGATTGTGCGTACTGGTGTGCATTTGTGCGCATGTGTGCGCATGTGTGCGCATGTGTGTGTGTGTGTGTGTGTGTGTGTGTGTGTGTGTGTGTGTGTGTGTGTGTGTGTGTGTGTGTGTGTGTGTTTGTAGCTGTTTGATATTGTTTGTTTGCATTTGTTGTCTTCGTGTCCTTGTCCTTATCTTTGTCTTTGTGCGGTCCTTGGTGGCTGTTCGCAAGCCATTGGCTCAAGATGTGTGATTGGGTAAAGGAGGCCGAGGCAGGGCGCGAGCCGTTCGTTGGGCAAGCCCGTAATGTGTACGACTCATGGCCAAGGAGGCAGTCTGAACCGGAACGTCCATGGAGACTTGGTGGAAAACCACGGTTTTAGGACTCTCTTCAAAGAAGTGAAGGAGCGAGAGGCTTATGTAATTTGGGATTCCCACCTTGGTTTCTCGGAAAGAGATTCCGAACGCCTATGTCATAGAGCCATGACCCTGCTTGACTGGCGCATGCAGTATTTTTTAGAGGGGAAACATGATGCCCCTTTTCGTCAGCTCCTTGCGGGTGCCAACTCAGGAGGTCACGTTGGCAAAAGCGGCGCGCAGGTCATGGACCCTTCAGTTGAATGCGGTTTGGTTGTTTCTTTAACCTTGAAGTGGGCAAATGTGCATTTTCCTACAACAAGTTGCAGAAAGTTGAGGACTTGTTGGGCAAGGGGATCCTGAATAGGGAACCATAAGGTGTTCTGACTGCAGTGCTCAACATTTTCTTGGCAGGCTTCTTCAGTTGGTGGTTTCTGGGCAAAATCGCCAACTATTTGGCATCGCGTATGCAGAAGCCGGCAATGTTGAATGGACTACGACTGCAGCAGAAGCTACACACATACAGCAACTACAAGTTTTACTGCTACCATTGAAAAACTCATGTTTTTGGCGTTTTATCCTTGCGTACCTGCAACACGATGATGTCGAGTGTCGACTGGGGCTGAAGCCGAAAGGATACCCCGGCAAAAACATGCAAGATATGCAGAACTTGGCTTTCCAAACCATTTTTGAAGCATTACAGCCCTCAGTTTTCGCTTTCATCGCCAAAAGTTTGCGTTTCCATGCGACGCAAACTGGCTCAGAGGCAGAACCTCCTCAAAGAAACTTGCGTTCAGGACAAAAACGGGAACACCACAAATCCCCCCCAACAAAAAAAAAAGGCAAGAAGAAAGCACGAGGAGCACCCTAGATTTGCTCCTTTCCTGGAAGGTGGACCTTGGCGCATTCTCCGGATTTGCCCCCTTTAACCTCCTTAAAACCCATGACGCGCGCGTCGGGTGGAGCAGGAATCGGCATGGACAGCGTGTGCCGCCTGGATGAGCCGCTCCTGCAGATCCCGGACACGCCCCCCGCGCAGTCGCAGGCGCAGGGTTATGGGCTGGGTTTGGGGCTCAGAACTGCGGTTTTGGTGGGTGGGTGGGTGGGTGTGGGTGGGTGTGGGTAGGTGTGGGTGGTGTGTGGGTGTGGGTGGGTGTGGGTGGGTGTGGGTGGGTGTGGGTGTGGGTGGGTGTGGGTGGGTGTGGGTGGGTGTGGGTGGGTGTGGGTGGGTGTGGGTGGGTGTGGGTGGGTGTGGGTGGGTGTGTGTGTGTGTGTGTGTGTGTGGGTGTGTGTGGGTGTGTGTGGGTGTGGGTGGGTGTGGGTGGGTGTGGGTGTGGTGTGTGGTGTGTGGGTGTGGGTGTGGGTGGGTGGGTGGGTGTGTGGGTGGGTGTGTGGGTGGGTGTGTGGGTGGGTGTGGGTGCGGGTGGGGGTGGGGGTGGGTGTGTGGGTGGGTGTGCGGGTGGGTGTGGGTGGGTGCGTGGGTGGGTGTGTGGGTGGGTGTGTGGGTGGGTGTGTGGGTGGGTGTGTGGGTGGGTGTGGGTGTGGGTGTGGGGGTGGTGGGTGTGGGGGTGGTGGGTGTGGGGGTGGTGGGTGTGGGGGTGGGTGTGGGGGTGGGTGTGTGGGTGGGTGTGCGGGTGGGTGTGGGGGTGGGTGTGTGGGTGGGTGTGTGGGTGGGTGTGTGGGTGGGTGTGGGTGGGTGTGGGTGGGTGTGGGTGGGTGTGGGTGGGTGTGGGTGGGTGTGGGGGTGGGGGAAAAAATGGTAAAAGTAGGGGGCCTGGGGGGTGGCCTGTTGAGGGTTGCCTGTTATGGTTTTTATGTTCATCTCAAATCTGTGTTCCCCCTTATTCGTTTTTAAAAGAGGGTTTTTAGGGAGCTTATTTATCGTTTTCGTTAAGGTAATCATTTTGGTAATTGCCCCCCTTGTTCATTGTTGGGCTGGGGGCAAACATTTTTTTCATTTGAAAGAGTTGACCCTTTTAGTAGTTATCAAGTTCTGGGGTGTTGGTGGTGTATTTGTTTTGATATATTTTTTGTCATTGAAAGTTTGTTATAAGTTAAAATTATAGTATAATGAAAGGTTATAAAGATTTACAATGTTTAATCATATTATAATTAAATAATATGAATAAACAAACATCATATTTCATAATTATTAATTGTATGAATTTCAAATTTGATAAAGTCTATCATCACAAGTTGTCTATTGACTAATCTTATTGTGCTCTTTATTTCTTTCACCATCTTTTCAATTGTAATTAGGAGTTCCTCTTTACTTGTCATGATATACTGATTGGATACCATATTACATTTTCCAATACATGTATCATAATTCATTTTTACTCCAACATACATGTTAATCTTTATTTCATCGGTATATCTTATTAGTTTCATAAACTTTTCTGATGGGTTCAATGCGTATGAAAACGCCTTATCGCCTTTTAACTTTTTGTTGTGTATCTCATGGTTATACGTTGTAATTGACTTTTCTGGAGTTTTACGCCGACTGACTACATCATTACTAATAGAAGGTTTCCATTTCCTTTGTAATTCTCTTAAAGCATCACATTGTTTCAGTCTTCGCCACCCTTCACTACCATTAATGTAAGTAGTGATGATTGAAACTAAGCCTTCAGGTAAGCTAGCGCAATTCTCATCCATAAAATTATTCTCTGACATTTTACCCTTACTCATTTTTCTCTTAATATATAAGGCTTTTTCTCTTTAAGTAGTTTTGGCTAGGGGTTGCTGGTCGGCTGGTCTGGGTTTCAGGTTTAATTTAAATGTCTTAACCTCATTGTTAGATTATAAAAACTAGGTTTAATCATATTATAATTGAATAATATCATTAAACTAAATCACTCACGCTTTCCATCCACCTATTCCATCCCACCAGAATTCAATAATTCGCATCTGTCCATCTACTAGACTGTCTTCTGTGTTTAGTTTCCGTATCGCTCCCGATAAGATATAGTGATTAATAATCATAGCATTAAACTGCCCATCTCGGTTTAACTTTTTACCACAGTCTTTTATGATGTTTTCATCTGTTAGGTTTTCATACATTTCTTTCATGATGTCAAACCTAACAAATGAGTATATTGTCATCAAGTTTAATCCGCTATTATCCCTAAACCTGTTAATAACATCTTTCCAGAATTCTTCGTTTTCATCAACTGATGGCAAAGGGTGTCTTTTGACGAAATCCTTTATTTTGTTTAACTCGTCATCTAATTCCTTTTTATAACTGTCATTATCATCATCTTCTTCGTCTGATAGCACCCAGTTTGATAAGTCAGCAATCACTCCGACATTTTCAGTCATATTTTCACTTAATATAATAAGTTAATATTTCTTTAAGTAGTTTTTTATTTTATGTTAAGGGGCGGGGTTTTTATTGAAAAAATATTTTCTAACAATTTAATATAATGGCGAGATTAACAAAAGACCAAATAATCAGCAACATCTATTACGACTTAGACGAGGGTTTCGGAAGCACACAAGCGACACACAAGAAGGCAAAGGAAGAAGACCCAACAATAACATTAGACGATGTAAAGTCTTTCTTAAAGAAACAGCCAAATAAACAAATCAAAAATTATAGAGGAACTAATTCCTATACCGCTCCATTCGCACGATATGAATATCAAATAGACATAATGCATATGTCTCCTTTAGCAAAAGACAAGAACGTTCCACAGTATGCTTTAGTCGTGATTGACATCTTCAGTAAATTAGCAGATGTAATACCGATGGAGGAAAGAGACGGAGAGAACGTTTTGAAGGCGTTGAGAGCAAGCTTTAAAAAGATGGGTTATCCGATGTCCGTGTATTCTGATGACGACGGAGCGTTTGCAACTAAAAATCACGTTCAGGATTTCTTCAACAGTGAAGGAATAAACCACATCGTTACGAAGACCCACGCAAATGTGGCCGAGCGTTTTATTAGAACGATGAAAAACAAAATTCACGATAGAGTTAGGTTTAACAACATGAAATGGACCGACGCCCTAACGCCGGCATTGAAACAGTATAACAGCACATCTCACTCATCAACAAGGATGACACCGTCTGAAGCACACAAGGACGACAATGAAATAAATGTAAAGGTCAATCTTAAACTACGAGAAAAAAACAAAAGAAAGTATCCCAGAATAGTGGAGAACGACAAGGTAAAAGTGTTTCAAAAGAAAAGGGGTAATTACACCGACAGAAAGGAGTATAACTCTAAATGGTCTAATAAAATATTCAATATCGATAAAATTGAATATGATATTATGGGTAATAAAACTTACAAAGTAGCAGAAATAAACAAACCGCTTTTGAGACACGAAATTTTGTTAGTTAATGATTAAACGTATTTCTTGGTGTCTTCTTTATACTTGACTTGATAGTAATCCAGACTTGATTGTTTAGGTTCTTTTATGATTTTTTCATTCAGTTTTTTAACATAAATGTTTCGTTTATTTTTGTATTCGCTACTGTCTCTATCTACTTCTTTTGCTTGATAATTGTTATTGTTATCATATGTAGGTTTAATATTCAAGCTCTTTAAGATTTTCAGTATGTTTTCATTTTGCTCCAACACTTTTTCTAATCTTGGAAACAACAACTCTAAACTACTGTCAATGTTCGCTAAATGTTCCTCCATATATACTAAATTATAAAACTAAACTTTTAAAACTAAATGTTGCAATTATGTTAAATCTACTCTTTAAATACTATTTTTTCATCATTTGTTTAACAGTTTCCTGAGTTTCCTTATCGCCACTATCGGATGGTGATGCTTGCCGACCCCATTTAAAAGTTATATTATGAACATCTGTTTCTAAATTGATACTGTCTTTGGTTTTATCGATATTTATTCGTTTATCGTTTTTACTTAGTTTGAAACTTGTCGGAATACACGAACATTTACAATTTCCTTTCTTTTGAATTTCTAATTCATTTTTCATTTCTAACATCTTTTTACACATTGGACAAGCAAACTCAATAACTGCTGTTTTATTAATAACTTCTTCACTATCTTCATCTGTTGAAGAAACAACTGATTCTGTCTTATTCTTTTTCTTTCTCCCCATCTATATTAATATTTATATTTTTAATATATTGTATCACAAACTTAATTAATTCTAAAACAAAATAGCATACTTTTTTAAATCTATTATCAGTTAGTATTACTTGTTCTATATTTTCTACTTTATCTATTATATCAATATAATCCGAATAACTTCTATTCATATAAAATAATAAATATAAAATATTTTCTAAATAACTTTAATATTATTTTATTATGTCTGATGTTCCAATAATAAAACCAATAAATATAACTGATTACGATTTCAAACAATCTAAATATGAACATGTACCAAAACTACCTTTTCGCTCAATTGTTGTTGCTTCATCAACGGGTGGCAAAACAGTTTTAATTCAAAACCTTATCCTAAATGTTTATAGGGACTGCTTCGCCCGTATATTCATTTTTAGCCCGTCGGTTCATAATGACCCTACCTTCGTTGAAGTCAAGAAATATCAAAAAGATAATATGAAGGTTGATGATGAAAAAGAAAAGTTATATTATGACACCTACCAACCTGAAGAACTGGAAGAAATAATTAACACACAAAGAAAGATAATTCATTATATGAAAGAACAGAAGATGAAGAAACTACATTCAATTTTAATCATTGTTGATGATTTTGCAGACGACCCTAAATTTGTTAGATATAGTAAGTTATTCATGGACTGGCAACGAGAGGCAGACACGACGCCATTAGTTTTTGCTTAAGTGTTCAAAAATATCGTGTCCTTGCTCCAATCATTAGGTTGAATTCTAGTTCGTTGTATATCTTCAAGTTAAAGAATGTATCAGAGTTAATGTCATTCATTGAGGAAAACTCCGCCATTGTTGATAAAGAGCAACTGTTAAATATGTATCATAAAGCGGTAGATGATAAACCATACTCCTTCTTTTATGTTAATATGAATTCCAAAGATGTTAATAATATGTTTTATGTTAGATTTGAAAAAGCATTTAAAATAAAGTAA